TGTTGTAGCGTTGGCTAGTTTACCTGTTGAATATAGTATGATTAAAACTATCATATTTGCTCGAAAATTTCCAATTACACTAAAGAGTTTAGAGCTCAACTCCTAAGTGTTGAGAAGATGGTTGAAGACTTACAATCCTCTGCTGGGTTTCCTATGGTTGGAATTGTAACACCCCGGTCCCGAAATATTTATTTTTGGGAAATAGTTCCGATGATAGGCCTACAACAAACTCTTGTTTGATTTGCTACCATTACACATTATTGTTTAATTAAAATTCCTTAATTCCTTATAAAAGTCTACCACTAAATTTACCTATCAAGAACATACGTTTATTATTTTTTATTTAGCCCAAATTTCTCCTCTTCACTCTAATTCCCAACAAGATGTCAAAACTCGATTAATTACCCTCGTTTATTTTATGGCTGCATCTAACTTCTCGTTAAACCACCTACGTACCCTAAATAGGGATCAAGCCACTCATAGTTCACCAATTCAAATTCATTCAAATTCCAAAATTTATACAAGTGACTAACAATCACCATCTAGCTTCAAACACGTGAATCACACCAAATGCTTATCAAATTTGGTTTCAGTACATCAAAATTTAGCTTAAAAACACGGCATCGGATCACTGGCCACGAGCTGCTGCACGCACCATCGCGGGTGGCGGTCGGTCGTCCCGACTCGCCGGAAAATTCAACTATAACACAAAATTACCAAATTTTACGGGTTGTAGATTTCAATGAAATGAAAACTTTTATACCTAGGCCGAGGTCCAATTCAGCAGGGAAAAGCCCCAAATTTTACTCAGATCCACCGGAAAACCCTTGAATTGGGTGTTCTTGATTCGACTCCAAAACAGTTTCGACGCCCCAACCAGTGTATGGGCTTTGTTCTTGGGGTTGAGGGGAGTCTATTGGTTATGGTGGTTGACGGAATTTGTTTCAAAAATGGCGGAATCGACATCGTGGCTTCGGAACACCCACGACGCCACCTCGTCGTGAAATAAGACCAAATCAGGTCAATTTTAGGTTGAAAATTAAAGAAGGAGCAACGAAATAATGATTGGTGGTGGTAATTCATGTCAATTCATCGAAAAATCGATGAATTTCACCGAAAAATATACCAGATAGAAACTGGGTTTGATGGGTATAGGGGTCGGCTGGTTTCCCCTTTTTCTCCCTTTCTCATTTCCCCTCATTTCCCCCACTTCTGATTATGCAGTTTCCCACCCTTTTTCTCTCCTTTCTCATTTCTCCTTTTCAACTCAACCATTCATCTCTCTCATTTCTCTTCCTTTCCCTTCATCCCAGCCACACACGTGGCATTACCCATTGCTCCAAATTTTCTGGAGCCTTCTAAAGTGAAGATTAAATTTGTAAAAATATCTCTAACTTTAAACGTTAATAACTCTTTCATTATAACTTCATTTCATGAATGGTTTGCGCCTACACGCTCATGAGGTCGAGATCTATCCAAATATATCAAGAAATACAATAAAATATGTCCTCATATAATTACATTAAGCTAACTATGGGCATTTTTGTCTTTTTAACTTATCGATACAAATATCTGTCGTAACTATAAATACGTCGTAATTATGAATACGACTACAAAATACTTATTTTAATATTCAAATCCAAGAATGGATTTTTCACATTTTTCCCACTGAAATTTCCTTAACCATTTATTGATTTATTTTCCTATTTCCTTCACTTATTCATAAACATAAATAATTAATTTATATATTTAAAATTTTCAAGGTTTTACAAGAATGTTGTCACAGGGGGAATCCTCTGCAATGGCAGTTAATCGCCAATTTTATCGAGGATAGTCCTCTACTAATGGCAGTCATTGTCAGTTTTAGCCAGGGGAGTCTTCTCATCAATCTGAAACTCAATACTTTCATGGGGGCACTGGCTATGTAGGTCAGTTTCAGCAATTTATTGGTCCTGGAAATAGTCAAGGAAATGGAACTCAATCATAGTATCATAACAGAAACAATGGTGAAGGTTTTAATGGTTCCAAATAGAAGTATAATGGAGGTGGCAATTCCAAATTTAATAATTGAAGTAATGGAGGTTTTTCTGGAGCTTCTATTAGTAATTCTAAGAGTGGTTCATCATGGGGTTCTTGGAATGGTAACACTGGAAAGAAATCGTACATAATACCTGAGTGTCAAATTTGTAGCAAAAGGGGACATACGGCACCAAATTACTTCTACAGAAATGATCAGCCATCTACATTTGCTGGAGGAATTCCTGAATGCCAAATTTGTGGCAAACGTGGACATACGACTTTGAATTGTTTTCACTGCAACAATTATGCGTTCCAAGGTGCCGAACCACCTTCCCTTCTCACTGCTATGCCTGCTAATTCTTCATGTGACTTTAATTCTCAACAAGCTCGGATTATGGACACTGGTGCTACTCACCATATGACTAGAGACATGTCAGACCTTAATATGCTTACACATTTTGAGGGAGATGAAAAGATTACTCTTGGCAAGGAGAATGTCTTTATGTTAAGAACACTGGTTCAACCTCTATTAAAACTCTGTCTAAACCCATAAATCCTATCATTGTGTTACATGTTTATGCCTTTGCTACTAGTTTGTTATCTGTTTATTCTCTTTGCAAGGATAACCATTGTTTTGTTATTCTTGATGAGTATGGTTTTTGGGTGCAAGACAAGGCAACAAAGAAGGTTCTAATGAGAGGAATGAGTAAGGGAGGCCTCTATTATATTCCCAAGAGTTTGTTTTTCAACTAAAATAAGCTACTTTAGCCCATTGCATTTCTTAGACAATTGGTGAAAACTTCATTGTGGCATCATCGACTAGGTCATCCTAGTAATGAAGTCTTGCATAGTATGCTATCTTACTCTAAGGTTCCTTATAATCCAGATGTAACCAAGCATGTTTGTGAGTTTTGTTTGAATGGCAAGATGTCAAGACAAGTGTTCACTTCTAGTTCACATGTGTCTGTAAAACCTTTTGAAAGGATTAGTAGTGATGTTTAGGGTCCATCACCAGTTGTATATGTTGAAGGCTATAAATACTATGCCAATTTCATTGATGATTTTACTCGATTTACTTTGATCTTTCCTCTTGTGTATAAATCTCAATTCTATTTAGTGTTTCAATAGTTTTATGCTTTTATTAAGAATCACTTTCAAGCATCTATGAGATATTTTCAATATGATGGTGGTGGAGAATTCACAAGTAATGCTTTTAAGAAATTGTTGAGTTATAATGGTATTGTTCACCTAATATCTTGCCCTCATACCCCTCAGCAAAATGACATTGCCGAGAGGAAACATCAACATATTGTTGAAACTATAGTGACTTTAATGTCCACAACTATACTTCCCCACAATTTATGGTTTCATGCTTGTTCTCATGTCATTTTTCTTATCAATAAGATGCCCTATAAATCATTAGCTATTGTTGAGTTATAATGGTATTGTTCACCTAATATCTTGCCCTCATACCCCTCAGCAAAATGACATTGCCGAGAGGAAACATCAACATATTGTTGAAACTACAGTGACTTTAATGTCCACAACTATACTTCCCCACAATTTATGGTTTCATGCTTGTTCTCATGTCATTTTTCTTATCAATAAGATGCCCTATAAATCATTAGCTATGCGTTCACCCTATTTTAAACTTTTTGGTTCACATCCTGAGTTAGGGTCTTTAAAAAAATTTGGCACGGTTGTGTACCCTTATCTTAGACCCTATAATACTACTAAATTAGAGCATAGAACAGAACAATGCATCTTTTTAGGATATGCTTTGGGGTATAAAGGTGTGGTATGTTATCATCGAGGAAAACAAAAGTTGTTTATTTCAAGGCATGTTATCCATGATGAAAAGGTGTTTCCCTTCCGTACACCTATGGTTTCTGTTTCTTCTCAAGCATCAGTACATGTACATCATCTTATAATTGAGCCTGTTGTTTTACCTTCACCTTCTGGACATTTTCACTCGGTTGGTTCTGCATTTGGTTGACATAATACTACTGGTTTTGATGTTATTGATGAGGGTTCAGGTTTCAATAGTATTTCAGAATCTGCTACAAGGTCATTTGAACAAAGGGATAATAGTGCAAATGTGGGTTCATCTAACAATTCTCTTAGCAGTTTGGAACAAGATTCAGGAACTCTGTCTTCTTCACAGGCCTTTCATTCTTCAGCTCCTACTCCTCTTCTCCAACAATATACAGAACCTTTGTTGCATGTCCATCATGCGGCTTGAGGTAATTCTTCCTCTAGCTCCTTCTTATACTACTGATACTACTACATGCTTGTCTTTTCATCCTATGCAAACGAGGCTTCGTACATGTGTGATTTCTAGGAAACATTATAGTGTTATGGCTGTGTCGAATTCTACAACTTCTCAGTTGTCTTCGTTGGTTGATTCCAACTTTGATTCATCACAAGTGTCAAATAAAGTTGTTTTTAAAGGGTATATTGTTGTTTTGAGCATAGTGGATACTAATGAACCAACATCATTCAAGGCTGTAGTGTCTCAATCTCATTGGCGAGAAGCTATGACAGAGGAGTTCAATGCTTTACAAAAGCAAGGTACTTGGGAGTTAGTACCTACTTCTGATAATAGGAATGTTATAGGAAGCAAATGGGTTTACCAGATTAAGAAGGATCAAACTGGTGTTGTTTCTCGATATAAGGCTCATTTGGTAGCTCAAGGGTATAGTCATGAACAAGGCCTCGATTATGATGATACCTTTAGTCATGTGGTTCGTCATAGTACTATTCGAATTGTCCTTGCTTTAGATGCTGCACAAAAATGGCAATTACGTTAATTAGATGTTAAAAATGCCTTTCTTCTCGGTGATTTACAAGAAGAAGTCTTTATGAAGCAACCTCAAGGATTTCAGGATTCTGATACACCTCACTATGTTTGCAAACTTGTTAAGTCTCTTTATGAACTTAAACAAGATCCCCGGGCTTGGAATTCTAAGTTTACGACATATATGCCTAGCCTTGGGTTTGTTGTCTCTAATTCAGATCCCAGTTTGTTTGTGAAGCAACATGATGGTCATGTAGTTATTCTTCTGTTGTATGTGGACGACATTATTATCATTGGCACTGATTCTGTTTTGGTGCAACAAGTTATTGACAATCTTGGTGAAGTTTTTGATATGAAAGATATGGGTCGATTAGCCTTTTTCTTGGGCCTTCAGATTACATATAAGGACAATGGTGACCTTTTTATTTCTCAATCAAAGTATGTTAAGGATTTGCTCAAGAAGGCTGCCATGAAGTCCTGCAAGCATTGTCCTACTCCCTACAAACCACATACGTCATTGTTCAAAGATGAAGGTACTCCTATAACTGATCCTACTTTGTTTCGAAGTCTTGTGGGGCCTCTACAATACTTGACGTTTACTGGACCAGACATTGCATTTGCTGTGAATTATGCATGTCAGTTTATGTCCAATCCCAATAATGCACACTTTCATCTTGTCAAGCGTATATTCAGATATTTACAGGGCACTTTAGAATGTGGTTTAACATATTCCTCTACGAATTCCTTGGAGATTCTGGCGTATAGTGATGCTAATTGGGCATCTGATGTCAATACTAAGAGATGAATGTGGAGTCCCATAATTTCTAAATTTTATACACATTTTTCCTATCGTGCTCATTTGATTAAACTTTTAGACTTCTCTTTTTATTTAATCTTGCTTAAAGGGGAACATTTTTATTTAACTTAGGTTAGCTAAGTTTGGGTTGAAATTAATTTACTACGAACCTTATACAATTGTTATTAACTCATTTGGACTAGGAAAGTGAGGACAAATGGCTTTCTTGGAGTAGCAAAGTTTTCCACGTAGTTCACTCACTATGCCGACCCAAGGACACTAATCTAATCATTAGCTTGTTTGGTGAAAAGTATGTAGCTGAGGTGTTATCACGTAGGGTTTTTAGGGTGTTTAGTAAGCACCTTAGGGTGATGACTATTAAAGCCTAGGTTGACGACTAATCAAGCCTATAGCTAACATGGAATGGTGGATTAGCGATTGAAGTTGAAACTTATAACCAATGAGAACAACTTTTGCCGCCTTATTTATGGTATAAATAGGAGCAATGCTCCATCTGTGTTTTCTTTTCCTCTTGCAAAATGCAATACGCACCGTATGTAGAAAGTGTGTAAGAGAGTGTTAAAGGAGATAAGCAAAAGAAGTACTCGTGGAGTAAGAAGAGAAGATTCAAGGTAGGGGAATTTGGGGAATTAATTGATTGCATTTGTTACTTGTATTACATGAAATATTGTTATGTGGACTTAAGATATTCAACTATTGAATTAGATATAATTTGTTATGTGGTATATTATATATTGGCATGGTCATTATCATTTGTCAAATAAGTAAAGGAGTTACTTATATTGTGGGAAAATGTGGAAATTAGCTTTTGTGTAGTTAAGTCTATTCATTGTGAAACCAGTTCCAGGCGAGCCTGATGTGCACAGTAAAATAGAATATCGACGGAAATTGTCGATGTGGGTGATTTGGGATAGAGATCAATGAATCAGATAAGATGACTAGCAAAAGAGGTTAAGAACTTGGGTTAGTTGATGGGGGTTATTCTATATATTAAAGCACTCGAGGCCACAGTGGTAAAATGCATGGTATGGGACATGCAAGTCTGGTTGCTTCAATATATAGGTTAATGGGTTGGGTAAAAAAGAAGTATTGTTCTTGCATTACATTACTCATAAATATTCATAACATTAATAATATTAGTCACTTGAGACCTTAAGCCCCTATTGAGCTTTTAGCTCACCCCTTATTAGTTGTGTTACAGGATATGAGACATGAATCTAGTGATTGACTTGGAAGAAAGAGACTGCTTATAAATAGTTTTAAAATTTTTAAGGAGTTGTTGTCGTTTTCTCTTATGTGTAATGACAATGTAAATTATTTTGTTTAATGAAACGTTTTAGTTCAACACAGTCACCTGTTACTACCTTTAAGTTACCCCTTGTTATTCATGCTCTAAAAAATAAAAATAAAAATAAAAAATTTAGGGCGTGACAATCAACCACAGGTTATGTTGTATTTTTAGGGTCTAATCCTATCTCGTGGCAAGCTAAGAAGCAAATCAATGTTTCTCAGAGTTCCACTAAGGCTGAATACAAAGCCTTAGCTAATACCGTTGTGGATATTGCCTGGATTCAATTTATCTTGAAAGATCTCCATGTTTTCTTGCCATAACCTCCTTTATTGTACTGTGACAATGTTTCCACTCTTGCCTTATGCTCTAATCTTGTTTTTCACACAAGGATTAAACATTTGGACACAGACTACCATTTTATTCGTGAAAGAGTCTAGAAAGGTGATCTTCAGGTGGAGTATATAGCTACTGCAGGTTGTTGATGTGCTCACTAAATGTCATCATGGTCTGGCTTTCATTCAACATTGTTTCTGACACACCCCAACCCGGAATGTCCACTAGGACTCCGAATCGAGCTATGTTGGCCGACACTTGGAAGGTGACGAAGCCATAAAGTGTGATGAAGTGGAAAAATGTGAATAAATTTAAACCTAAGAGTGCCTAAATACCAGAGTGTGCTGGTAAGTAGGAATGAACCCACTTCACATGTGACGTTAAAGCATAAGTAAGTACAGTGGAATGGATAAAGATTATACCCTCAAAAGTAACCACCTATTCTGAGATTTGCCAAGAATCTCCGTCGATACGAACTTTTAGCAAATTAAACCTGAAGGGGCGCAAACAGAAAGTGTGAGTGGGCCAAAAAAAGCTTTTCAAAAACCATTTCAATTATTAAAGATAGTAACCCCTCGCCGTAAAACCTGTATAATTTCCCAGAAAATAGAATATATACATATATCGAAACCATACTCGAATTAGCAAAATCCACATATATACCATGCCAAATATCTCAGCATCAATAACGAGTAAACCAGGTGAAATAAATCAATGAAAGTAATATGTCAGCCGGATCCACCTATTGTGGCATGTACAGCTGAACCCATAACTCATCAAGTATACATGCACACAAGTCGGAACCACCTATAGTGGTCTGTATGACAAGATTGGGTGTAAATAAATACACTCAAGTGCTACGATCACGTGAAGACTGTGCGAATAATCGCGGGTCATCTACGAGTCGGAACCACCTATAGTGGTTTATACGACAGGCCTGTGCACCTCACTTAGATTCAAGGTGAGCGTGCGGTGCGGGAGGTGAACATCACGTGAAGGCCTGTACCCTAGCCACGGGCGGGAGCACTAACACTGGTGTGCAGGTTTATGAGCTCTCAATGCATCTTAACATACTAATCAACTCACATTAACAATCTATAACTCACCTGGTACTTACTTGAGCATCCACAGTGTCAAATCACAATATGCATACTATAATAACTCATAATCTAAGTATAAATCATGAGGCATGGCATTTCAAAACATAATTCCATTTAAACGCATTTTCTGGGAAAAATACCAAGCATACATATATATACTGAAAACAAAAGCCCACTCACCTGGAGTTCATGCTACAACTCCCTAGCATAACCATAAAGGCGTCACGAACGATTGGTGCTTAGAACAATTATCAAATCACAACTCATAATTTTTATCAATAAGATATATAACTTACATAACACACATCCCTACATAGTTCGATTCGGAAGATCCTCACTTCCAAAGGTCCACATTATACTTTTAGAACAACTTCCTAAAGTTCTATTACGATCCAACGGTCGGATCTTCACCAATTGCCAAAGACAATTCGGAAGATTTCTATATTGGATTCCCAATCCGTAAGTTCCTATGGTCCTCAAATATTACGTACTATAACATATAAAAGTTTGATGACGATCCAACGGTCGGATCATTGATTCATATAATGACCTATTAACGTAACGTAAAGGATTTAGGTTCCAACAATCAACCTACGTCATACAATTACCAAAACTGAGCTCATGCATCTAATTTAGTCTGGGAATAACATCGACAGTCCCCCGGCCACACGCCGCCGCACACGCTGCACTGGGTGGCGGTCGACTGCCCCGACTCGCCGGAAAATCCAACTATTTCCAAAAATTACCAAAATTTACAAGAATGAAGATCTTAATAAGTAGAGTAAACTTTATACCTGCGGCCAAGTCTAATTTGGCCAGGAAAAGCTCCAATTTTACTCAACCCTGCGGGAACCCTAGAAAATGGTGGTTGTCGATTCGTCGTCTCCGAAACTCCACCGCCCTAACCACCAGTTGGGTCTTATTCCTGGGTCCAAGGGAAAGCTAACTATGGTGGTAATTGAAGGAAATGGTTGTAGGAATGGCGGATTCGCCGCCGAGTGTCCTCTAAGCCCACGACTTCGATTCTTCCAAAACAAAGCCCAAACAACCTCATTTTTTGTATGATAAAGGAAGGTGGAATGATGGTGAGAGGTTTCCTGGTGGAAACTTGACTTAATTTGCTAGAATTTCATCGAAACCTCATCGGATTTCTCTGCCCAGAAACCGAGCCGGCGCGCAGGTCTAATGAGCCTCCGGGTCGTGGGGGTTCGAATCCCCTCCCTCTCTTATTTCCTTCATTCCTCTCCTCTCTGGTTGGTTATTCCCTATTCCTCCTTTCTTCGTATTCGTTCCTTTTATTTCTCCCTCTATCTCTGATTGGGCAGTTCTGCCCAGTCTCTTTTTCTCTTAAACTAATATAATAATACTTATGAAATATATAAAATAATAAATGGAAAGCCTTAGAAACGTACTTTTCAGATTTGTAGCTCTGTAAAACTTTAACCGTAGCTCCAAATTCACTTCCTCTTGAGTCTATGCGTTCGTATCACCGGATACTACGCAAATACACTAAAAAAATAAGTCGTAAGTCTCACTAAACGTTGGTCAACGAAAGTCAAGATCCTCGCCTCTAAGGGCATTTTCATAAAGTCATGCTTTTAAAATTTGTAAAAACATAAAATTAGGGACGGGTCGTCACAGTTTCAATCTCAAACTGGGTTTCCCCAGTTGAGATTGAGAGGGGATATTGAGTGATATGGATGGTTTTAGATGATGACTTGTGTCATAATCTTGTAAGCTAGGTAGTTATAAGGATTGCTTAGTCATTAAGCTTTGTAAGTAGTATAAAGATGGATGAGAATATTCTTGTAACTGACTTTGGAGATTTCACAAAGTTTGTAATATTTCTTCCATTATCTCTCTCTGAGTTCTTCTTCACTTCCATGAATAACCTTCATCAATACTGTTATCAAAGCACACTCGCCACTCCGGCGAACTCTGTCATCACCTAAATGCCACACTACCACCCCTTTTTATTTTTCTCTCATTCAGTTTTGTTTCTCTCCTTTTCTCGGCTTCCTTTTTTCCGACGCACCTACGACACTGACGGTCATTTTGCCGTTGTTTTTGGACACCAGACCACACCAACCTGTACCACCTCATCCCTCTCCTTGATTTAAACCAAAAAGGCATGATTGAGGCTTCAATCTCGAGGCCATACTATGGAAACCAGAGCTCAATTCTGAGGTTCGATTTTTCGGCGTACTTCTTAATTTTTTTTTAATTAAGGTAAACTTCAAGAACGCTAATAAGTCCATTTTTAA